AGGCAATTCTCCTGCCTCAGCCTCCTGAGTAGCTGGGATTACAGGCACGCACCACCATGCCCAGCTAATTTTTTGTATTTTTAGTAGAGACGGGGTTTCACCATGTTGACGAGGATGGTCTCGATCTCTTGACCTCGTGATCCACCCGCCTCGGCCTCCCAAAGTGCTGGGATTACAGGCTTGAGCCACCGCGCCCGGCTCTTTTTTTTTTTTTTTAAGGCAGTCTCTCTGTCGCCCAGGCTGGAGTGCAGTAGTGTGATCTTAGCTCACTGCAACCTCCACCTCCTGGGTTCAAGCGATTCTTGTGCCTCAGCCTTCCAAGTAGCTGGGACCACAGGCCTGCGCCACTGCGCCCGTCTAATTTTTGTATTTTTAGTAGAGACGGGGTTTTGCCACGTTGGCCAGGCTGATCTCGAACTCCTGACCTCAAGTGATATGCCCACATTGGCCTCCTAAAGTACTGAGATTACAGGAGCGAGCCACCGTGCCCAGTGAACCTATAATATTGAATAGTTGTTCAGTAACTTTTTTTCTCCAGATGGAGCCTTGCCCCGTTGCCCAGGCTGGAGTGCAGTGGTGCGATCTCGGGTCACCACAACCTCTGCCGCCCTGGTTCAAGCAATTCTTCTGCCTCAGCCTCCCAAGGAGCTGGGATTACAGGCATGCGCCACCACGCCCAGCTAATTTTTGTATTCTTAGTAGAGATGGGGGTTTCACCATGTTAGCCAGCCTGGTGTCAAACTGTTGAACTCATGATCCACCTGCCTTGGCCTCCCAAAGTGCTGGGATTACAGGTGTGAGCCACCATGCCTGGCCCTGTTCAGTAACTTTTAGTGTGAAGAGTATATACATAATTGAATAAATACCATCAGGGGCTTCTTTTTACCTTACTATTCCTGAATTTTTGCTGTACCAAGTTACTGCAATTTATTTGACTAGTGGTCAAGTGATTTTTTTTTGCACATGAAGTAATTGCTAGGTAGAATTAGTTTTCGTCTCAGCTTTGGCAGCTGGATTATTCCAAATTTATCATGAAAAATAATGACATGTGACACTTATTGAGTATTTGGCTTTGTGTAAGGCATTATGCTTCATACTTGGTGTATCTCACTCCTAATAATAGGATAGCTTTCAAGGTGTGGACTGATTCCAGAGTCCAAATTACTTTATAGAAGAAGTGAGATAAGGTGTATAATAGAGATTCAGCATATATCATCCACTCTCCTTTTTGAGCATTAAAGTCCTTGGGATTGCATATACTTCAGTTACAGATGCAATATAGTGTATTGGTTAAGAACACAGATCCTGAAGGCAGACTGCCTGGGTTTGAGTCCTGGCTCCATCTTTATATAACCTTGAGTAAATTGTGTAGTCCCTGGGTGCTTCAGATTCATCATCTGTAAAATGGGGGTAATAGTGCCTGTTCTATAGAGATGTGAGGACTAAATGTGTTAATCTGTATAAAGTGCTTACAACAGTGTCAGGAAGGCAGGATTATATAAATGTTAGCTATGCTGTTTAATATTCCTTTTATATTAGCAGCAGCTTCTTCACAGTAGTTAATGTTACAATTTTCCACATAATAAAACTTGACTTTTGAAATCATCTTAAGCCCAGTGGTGTTTCTAAATAATGCTATTACTGTAGTCAGTGCTGTTCTTTTCTGAGACGCTTTTTTTGATAGCCTTTCTCTTCTGTGACCTTTAATTGAACTTATTTGGGAAGGTAAGTTAGTGCTTTATTACTGTTAGATTATTTGACCTATGTTAGTTTTGTGTCACCACCGAGATTATATTTAAGCTCTTTGAGAGCTAAAATCATTTTTTACATGTTTTAGTATTTCAGGTAGCATAAAACATACAGTGATAACTTGATAATGATGCCTTATTAGAGGCAGAAAGTAAAAATAGAAGCAGTATATTATTTTATGTTTGAATAGATCTGTTAGCATCTACAATAGTCTTATTAGTGTTTTACTTGGTTTTAGGTTCCTAAATATTTGTCACAGCAATGGTCTAAAGCCCCTGGAAGAGGTGAAGTTGGGAAACTGCGGATTGCCAAGTAAGTTATTTACATATTCTTGACATTTAAAAAAGTTATTTTTGAAATTTTTATAAATGTTTTTAAATGTGATTATAATTCCTGATTAGAGAGTTTACTTACAAAATGACAAGTAATGAACATGTCAAGGCTTGTCAAGAGACAGGTGCCCTCTAAGGAGACATCTTTGCACATATACACACATCCCCGCACACACACCCCTAGTGACATGTGGTATAAATATAACATCAAGTTTATTGGTTTACCTTAATGGCGGTGAAGCAGCAGAGTATTAGTTCTTTCACCCCTCCGTCCTGTCTGCATCCAGGAGCAGGTGTGCTTGGGTTGGGTATAACGGGATACCCCAAGGAAAGTAGGACTTTGCCAATATACCACTATGCCTGCTTATACGAGCTGTGGAAGTGGGTAGGAAGTATCTGGAAAACGGTGTAACAGTATAGTTTTCTGGTTGAGGAAATGGCCCTGTTAGAAAGGAAAGCCTCTAAAGCTCAGCTAGTATTAGCTGGAGGCCTTGTGTTCTGTTCTTTCCATCCATTCATTCTTAACCAACTCCGGTCAGATTCCTATGCCCATGACTCCATAGAAACAGCTCTTCTCTGTTACTGGCACCTTCCTCTTTATCACTTAGCTTTTGCTTCATAACAAACCATCCCAAAACTTAGTGGCTTAGCACAGAAACCATTTTATTTGCTCATACTTCTATGGATCAGTTTTGGTTGGAGCTGGCCTGGGTGGCCTTCCTGGAGAGGATGATCTCACTTGTGTGTGGTGGTTGATTTGACTCAGCAGGGGCGGTGGCTGTTTATTTCATCTCTAGCAAACTCATTAACGTGATGGTGAAAGCATTCTCGTAGCAAAAGAGAAAGGAAGCCCAGTGCACAAGCACTTTGAAAGCCTGTGCGTGTGTCACATTTGCTGAAGTCCTTTTGACAAAGCAGCTCATACGGCCAAGCCCAGATTCAGTTGTGGGAAAACAGACTCCCCCTGTTGATGGAAGTTGCTGCCAAAAAATTTGTGTTCCTTATTTATTTTAAGATATGGAAGGCTTCACAAATTCGCGTGTCATCCTTGTGCAAGGGCCATGCTCATCCTCTGTATCATTCCAGTTTTTGTATATGCTGCTGAGGTGAGCATATGTTTCTTTTCTATTATCTGCCACATCCACATTCCTAAATCTAAGAGTCAAGTAGTAGCCCTCTTACTTGAACTGCAGTAGAATTTGACATAGTTGATTACTTTTTTCCTGAAACTTTTTTTTCCACTTCACTCTGGGACACATTTCTTCTCCTCTCCCCTCATTGGCTGTTTTTTCTCAGTTTCTTGCTAAGCCCCTTCTCATCTTCTATCTCTAAATGTTATATGACCTCAGGACTCAGTCCTTAGTTCTTTCATTTTCTGTCTTTTCACTTCCTTGGTGATCTCAGTCTCATAGCTTTAAGTACCAGGTGGTATTTAAATATACAGCTCAAGATGCTTCTGCCCTCCCTGGAGGCACCATGCTCAGGAAGGTCGTGATTTTCTTTGTTTTTTGTGCCCAAGCTGTGACTTTCTCTACACTAACCCCGGAATCAACCACTGACCTACTAGAATTGATCACTGATCTAGAGTTAACTGCAGACCAAGATTTAACCATTAACCTAGACTTGACCACAGACCTAGAGTCAACCATAGAACATGCAGGGTTTGGAATTCTCTACTGATGTGGAATCAGCCACCTCTAGCTTTGTGGCAGAAGCTGCCGATGCCACAGCTGATTATAATTCATTTCAGACAAGAGTGCTTATGAGTGATGATTATGATGTGAGTGAAGATTATTATTTTTTAAGATAGTGTCTCACTCTGTTGCCCAGGTTGGAGTAAAGTGGCGTGATCTTGGCTCACTGCAACCTCTGCCTCCTGGGTTCACATGATTCTCCTGCCCCAGCCTCCTGAATAGCTGAAATTACAGATGTGCGCCACCACGCCTGGCTAATTTTTGTATTTTTAGTAGAGATGGGGTTTCAACCATGTTGGCCAAGCTGGTCTTGAACTCCTGACCTCAAGTGTTCTGCCCACCTTGGCCTCCTAAAGTACTGGGATTACAGGCTGGAGCCACTGCCCCTGGCCATGAGTGAAGAGTGTTATGAATGTCATTTATTCCAAAGAGCCCATGAGTAGAGTGACAGGCAAGTGTAGCAGCTTCACAGGAAGCAGTGAGTCCATCTCAGTGCATGTTTGAAGCAAATTCTTCGTTAGTTGTGACTATCACTGTTATCCACCACTTTCTAAGAAGATTCTGAGCTTTAAGACAAGCCTGTCACTACACTATAGGAGACTGCATAATGGTAGAAAACTAGTAAAATGTAGGATGCACCTGGTTGAGGAGAAACAGCAAGACATTGATCCTAGGCTGGATGGTGTGAATTGTGCATGATGGGGCAGGGGCATTTCTTAGCTGTGTCTCATTTAATATGGGCTCAATAAATGTTCATTTCAATTGAAAATAAATAAGTAAAAACCAAAAAGTATATTTACACACCTCTCTCTCTCCACATTCATAATTCTGACTGTGTCCTTGATGTTTCTACTTGGATGTTTCAGAAGCATCTCAAACTTGCTATTCTTCTGTTCTTTCTCTCTGGAACACTCTTTTTAGATAATCCCCATGGCTTGCTCCCACATTTCTTTTTGGCCTCTTTTCATAGTGTCAGCTCACTGAGGTGTTTTCTGGCCACCATATGTAAAATAGCACCCTGTAGGTTCTACCTCCCTTACTCTCTTATTATTCACTATTCTCTTGTGCTGTTGATATTTATTCCCCCTCTACTATATCCATCTGACACACTGTATATTTGTTTGTGTATTGTTCATATCATCTACTAAAGTATAAAGTCTACTAGGTCAGGATTTTTGTCTTGATGATTACTGTATCTCCCTTGTCTAGAAGAATGCTTGGCATAATAGACACCGTGTTGTAAAGTTAGGTAGGGACAAGTACAGTTCTCCCTCAGTATCTGTAGGAAATTGGTATCTGACATGTCCCATCCCCCATAACAAAATCTGCCACGCTTAAGTCCCTTATATAAAATGGCATAGTATTTGCATATAACCTACACACATCCTTTGTATGCTTTAAAGCATCTCTAGATTACTTATACCTAATGTAATGTAAAAACTATGTAAATAGTTGTTACTAGTTTTTTTCCTTCTTTTTTTGAAACTGGGTCTCACTCTGTTGCCCAGGACTATAGGCAAGTGCTGCCATGCCCAGCTAATTTTTGTTTGTTTGTTTGTTTGTTTTTTGTAAAGACAGGGTCTCCATATGTTGCCTAGGTTGGTCTCAAATTCCTGGGCTTGAGGGATCCTCCTTCCTCAGCCTCCCAAAGTTTGGGGATTACAGGCATGAGCCACCATTCCCAGCTGATTTTGAAAATATTTTCAGTCTGTGATTGGTTGACTCCACGAATATGGAACCCACAGATGTAGGGGGCCAACTGTAATACCTCATTTTCTCAAGGAATGATTGACTATATGTTAATAGTGGAGTCAGGCTTGTATTCTGGCCTTTTATTGGTCAGAAAACTCTAGCAGCTCATAGTTCTAGCTTAGGCATTTACTATAAGTGAGACTTTGTACAAGTCACTGAATCTTCTGGCTTTAGATTTCTTATCCTTAAAGTTGCTTGTTTGCAGCGCTTTTATATGAATCCATTGAGATAATATGGAAATATTATTTATTTGTATATTTAAGTTTATAAGATGAACATATTCCTGGAAAGCTGTAGATGTATCACATTTTTCTGAGTTGTCATACTTTTATTGAAAGAGAAAAATGATATTGAAATCTGCAGTGTTTTTTTCCCCCAATGTGAAGTTCTTTGTAATGCACACAATTAGCTACTGTTCTGTAATGAACTTCAGAATTTTTTATATTAGATTTTACTGAAATGGGAGCCACAACCAAGACAAAAATCTCAGGAATGTATGTCACTGAAGGCAGGCAGGCTAAAGGAGAAAGTACTTAGATGACAAACCTCATGGTATTGTGGAGTGCCTTCACTATAGAGCTCAAGACGCGGCTTCTAGTCCTAAATGGCTGTTGATAGTTGTTTGGCTTTGGGCCTTATCCTTCTTGTTTGTAAAATGTTGATAATAATGCCTTTCCAATCCATAGGGTGTTTATAAAGCAAATGAAATAGCTTAGCATTTCGAAAACTTGGATATTTAATGTGGACAGTGTTTTAAAACATTGTTATGTTTTAAATCCACTAACCAGAGCTAAGTATTTTTCAAACCCCTTTAGGCTTAGCTATGCTAACTTCAGAATATAGCACAGAAGTCTGATTTTGCTTTGTCGTTCTTTCTTATATGTAGTTCTAAGGCTTTGGTTTACTTTGTTGCATCTTGGTCTCTTCCCTAGGGTACACGGTCAGTATTTATATTCCTTGCTTTTCTCGTTTAAGTCTCTGAATTCTTTTGAAAGTAAAATCCTCGGTAGTAGTAAGTTGAAATTCTTTTATTCAAATCAGTTTCCTCAACCACAGTTGAAGAAAAAGTAAACCCACCATTTTTTTTTTTTTTTTTTTTTTGGAAACAGAATCTTGCTCTGCTGTCCAGGCTGGAGTGCAGTGGTGTGATCTCAGCTCACTGCAACCTCTACCTCCTGGGTTCAAGCGGTTCTCCTGCCTCAGCCTCCTGAGGAGCTGGGATTACAGGCGCCCACCACCATGCCCAGCTAATTTTTTTGTATTCTTAATAGAGACAGGGTTTCACCATGTTGGCCAGGCTGGTCTCAAACTTCTGACCTCAAGTGATCCTCCCTCCTTGGCTTCCTAAAGTGCTAGGATTATAGGCGTGAGCCACTGCCCTGACCCTAAGAATTTCTTAAAAGGGAATCTAGTGGTTTCTATGTATACCAATATCAGAGACAAATAAGCAGATTGTGTATGTTTGTGTGTTCTATATGTAGGCAACAGATCTAGCAGATTTTCTACCTAACATAACACATAATCAGTCTTGTAG